TGCCCAGACCAGAGGCAGAAGACCTTTCAGGAGTGGAATGCTAAGTCGCTGACCCTGGCCCTTCAGGTCAAGGATGAAGGGTGGGGCCCTGGAGGCCTGGGAAGTGTCCTTCCGAGAACACCTCCAGGTCCAGTCAAAGGGGTGCCCCCAACTTTCACCTCTGTTTCATCCATCTTCCTGTGGGCCCTGTTTTTCCTAATGTAAATACCACTGGGGAAATTGAAACCCATCTGACCTTCATCTCTCCTGGTGTCTATATCAGATAAACAGACTACTTTCCCTAGAGCTGAAGCTGAGAGCTGCTGCCTTAGGTGGACTGCAAGTATCTGAAGTGTGGAGTGGACAGCATCTAGCACGGTGCCTTTGAAGAGAGGGTAGAGCTTAGATCAGTAGGTGAAGCCCTGAGGACACCAGGGATCCGTGGACACAAGTAGGTGAAGGCAGAGAAAGGGCACTTGGAAAGTGGAAGGGAGCAGGGAGCTTGGAGGCAGGAGGGAAAATCTACATCACTTCTCGTTGCAATGAAAAGAAGCCCCCAAGGATGATAAATACTCGATGTTTACTATAAGAAACACTGTACCATAGTTTAACAATATGTGGACTAGACAGTAACCTTGACGCCTCTGAGGAATTAGAAAGCTAGAAATCTAGCTTCATCACGTACCAGCCAGCCAGAGCTAGCAAAGGACGCTGTTTCATCCTGTCTAACCCTTTGTACCTAAAAGATCAGACCCAGAATGATGGGAATGAAAAGGGCTCAGAGCAGAATGCATGATCCTTCTTTCTTGTTACCTTTTGACAGTGAAATTAGAGGAGAGTTAAGATGTTGAGCATATAGCTATTAAACGAACACAGCCAACAGTAGGAAATTTAACTAGAAAGTTAGGGTTATAGCCTGAAACATACTCACTAAATATCTTAAATGTCCCACAATGGATTCCTATATTAGAAGCGATTTCTATTTTCAGCTTTATTTCCTACTGACATAATAAAAATCCATTATTTTATTACTCTGTATTTGAGGTTGCACTGCTTTATAATTTTCCCAAATTCATTTTTTTTAAGTTTTAAAGGTTACAAAATTTCATGATGTGACAAACAGGTTTGTGCTTTTCCTATCCATGGTTCTCACCTGTGTAGCCGAGACTCTGAATGCAAATCTGTTTTCACATTGATGAAGATATTTCAAGGACCATAAATTCCATGTAACACTGATACTTCTTGATTTGGGGTTTTGAAAGTCCCATTCATCCTCAGTGGTTTTTGGCTGCAACAGGAGCATAGGTGGGGGTTTTATTTCTATGCTAAGACATCCGTTTTTATTTTCTAAGATTTTTTTCTGCTGTGGACCTTTCTTTAAAGTCTTTACTGAATTTGCTACAATATTGCTTGTTTTATGCTTTGGCTTTTTGGCCATGAGGCATATGGGATCTTAGCTCCCTGGTTAGGGATTGAACCCAAATTCCCTACGTTGGAAGATGAATTCTTTAAAAAAAAAAAAATTTTTTTTTAAATTTATTTGGCTGCGTTGTTTGTCAGCTGTGGGTTCAGGCTTAGTTGCTCTGTGGCATGTGGAATCTTACTCCCACCCACACCCCCCCACCCCAGCAGGGATTGAACCATGTCCCTTGCATTGGAAGGTGGATTCTTAACTATTGGACCACCACAGAACTTCCAGAAGGTGAATTCTTAACCATTGGACTGCCAGGGAAGTTCCTACGCTAAGACTTTCACTGGACTGACTCCATATTTTCCTAATTTGGGGAACCATAACTTCTCTTTGATTCTGCGGTGATCACATACAAAGACCTGGTAGAAAACATAGCAATAAGAATTCATCTTTCTTTGCATCCACTAGGGGTCAATTATAAACCACAGCATATCCATCTGAAGTTAGCTGATCAACAGAAGCCTAGGCATTTACCTCTACTTCCTGATTCTTGGTTGCATCAGGTGACAAGAAATACTGTCAAGGCACTCTCATGGAGGAAGACCGAAGCTGTAAGACTTGAACTTGAGGAACACTCTAGAAATGTTTAATGACATTTTTTCATGTGAAGCTGTTTCCACTTCTCAGAAATGCAGCCATTCGTTTGTTACAAGCTGCTTCTGTGTCTCAGTTGTAAAAACCCAGCTCAGCAAAGTTTCTCTTTAGTACTTCTCTTGACAAAGCACACCCTTAAACTCTGATCTGCTTACTATAATGGAGTCATTTATAGAGAGAGAAAGAAATGTTTTCAAGAGAAAACCTAGAGTGCTGAGTGAAAGAATTACCAGTCAAGCATTAATTAGAATCTGTTTTTTCAGACCTGGTTTGGACACACACTGGCTGTAACTGGTTTACTTCTTCAGCTGGGAACCACAGCATCATTGGACCTTTTGGGTGTGATGATTCTTTGTGATGAAGGCTCTCATGTACATTATTAAATATTCGGCAGCATCCCTGGCGCTGATTCACTAGGAGTACCCTATTCTCTACCATGCTTATTTAGAACCCCGAAATATCTCCATACATCACCTGGGATGAAAAATTGCTATTTTTGAGAACCACTGTTTTCAACCTTAGTCTTCTCATCTGTACAGTGACTGAATGTGAGTGGAAATAGATGTTGGTTTAAGGACAAAAGATGCCTTTAAGGGTAATCTGCTACATTCATATAAACTATTACATTATTGCTTTACAGATAGACTTTATTTATTCACATGTTAAATGCTGCTTATTTTCACAGGTATCAGATTTGGCAGGTCTCAGCTGACAGGATGGAAGTGTTTGGAAGAAACTTATCCTCTTTACAACTGCAAAAATCAAGAGTTAATTGATAGACATATCAGTGTTTCAAACCCCTGCACAACCAGCAGAAGAAAGAATTCAAGTGCCAAATAGGAATTTAATCCCAATCACTGTCAAGGTTTACTCTAACTTTGAGGATCTTTGAAAATAAGATAATTGGAGTGGGATTGATACTCCAGGAATAATAAATATCCATTCTTTAGAAGCTTATTATCTCTAGTCAATAGACTAAAATTTCTCTCTCTTAGAATTTCTTACTAATCAGAAGAATTTATACACTGTAGACATGGCCTCAAAAGCAAATGATTCAGTGTGAAGCTGACCTCTGGCTGTTCTCTCCATCTGCGAGGAGAGCAGGAGGTCAGTGGGCATGACTGTGGAGCAGAGAGCTTGGAGGAAGGGTGACTAAGAGGCTCAAATCAAGAGCACAGCCTATTTCTTATGTGATGGAGCCAAATGGACAAAAGAAATCTGAGCCCAAGTCCACACAGAGCAAGGGGAAATATCACATAAAGGCAGAAATGGAAAATTCCTGTTCTGGGGCACACTGACCTGAGATCTTCACACACTTGGTTAGGATAAAGAACTTCTACTATTCTTATGACATCTCAGAAGGTTTTCCTGGAATGCTCTGTAGTCATCCATTTAAAAAATCATATGAGCAAACAACAAAATCTACATGCAAGAAGTTCTTTGCACTCAATTCTGTTCTTTTATTATTTCTTAACATAAAAAGACGAAGGCTGATGAATACAATTGTTAGCTTGTCTCCTTGTGCGAGCCACTTTTGGGTGAGGCCAAGCAAATGCTTATGAGAGAATTGGAAGCACAGACATAAGAGAAAAGATGAAGACTGTAAAACGCATTTCTTGCTGCTGGTAGTGATGATTCAAGTAGAACAAAAAAACCGGCTATAGTGTCAGGAAGCTGAGGGCACAGAAGGGAAGGAGATCAGCTGGGAAAGGGGACCTGGATTTGGGGTCTACTTAACCCCCATAAAAGAGAATTAATAAATAAATCCAGAGATTTAAAGCAAGAATAGGATAACTAGAAACTTAAGTTTTTTTCCCTTCATTTTAATCCCATGTTAGACTTCTCAAGAAATGTAGTTCACTCAATAATAGCATCTCTGTCAAATGCACAATAAAACTTCATATTTTAAAATGACGTTAGGTTCAACTGACAAAACTGAGAAGAAAAAAGAATACTGTTTTAGAACACTGGAGTGTCCGATCCTTTCCATTTTTGCAGACATGGAAAACGTTCATGAGATTGGAGACATTTTCCTCTTGGGTTTAAACCTGTAATAAAATGTTGCTGACAGACTAATTATAAATGTTTTATATAGTTTGTGCATATGTGCTCTTCTCTAAACCAATTTAATTCCCATTAATGCTAATCTGGTTAATGCCCACTCAGAGAGGAAAGGAACACTCTTAATAAACTATTGATTTATTTGAGCTATTTAAATGGGGAACAGGCAGAAACAGATGGGAGAATAGAAAAAAAAATCACCATTATACCCATATCTGCATTTCTTAGAGTATTTTCCAAATATCAATGAATATTATAATTGGTATAAAGAGGAAATGGGGAAAAATAAAGTGACAAAGTGACAGCCCTCCCTCCACCCATAAAAAACTGAGGGCCTTGTAAATAAGATGTTGATTTTTTTTTTTAGTACTAACTCCAAGTTTAGAAATAAGATGTCATAAACAGAGGCAGACTTTCTTTGTTAAAAGAGAGGTTAAAAACTGAGGTTGATATTTGCAAACTCTTACTGATGTGGGTTTTTCTTTAAGAAAAAAAAATAAGGTAATCAAAACAAGAATACGTAAATTCTGCCCCTACCACAGCTTGTCCTGCTCCTAGTGTGAGTAGCCACCTTGTTCTCCATGCAACAATCCAGTATTCCCCTCACTTCAATTCAGTCGGGATTTCCACCTCTTGGGGTGCTTTAGCAAGCCAAGAAGATTGCCTCTTAAAAGACGTTGTGTCCAGGACAGAGTAGTTTCCTTGATTTTTTTTTTTAGTACTAACTCCAAGTTTAGAAATAAGATGTCATAAACAGAGGCAGACTTTCTTTGTTAAAAGAGAGGTTAAAAACTGAGGTTGATATTTGCAAACTCTTACTGATGTGGGTTTTTCTTTAAGAAAAAAAAATAAGGTAATCAAAACAAGAATATGTAAATTCTGCCCCTACCACAGCTTGTCCTGCTCCTAGTGTGAGTAGCCACCTTGTTCTCCATGCAACAATCCAGTATTCCCCTCACTTCAATTCAGTCGGGATTTCCACCTCTTGGGGTGCTTTAGCAAGCCAAGAAGATTGCCTCTTAAAAGACGTTGTGTCCAGGACAGAGTAGTTTCCTTGAGCACAACTGTGTAAGGTGTCTGAGCACCATAAGGCTTGCATAGAACTCAAAAGCAACAGGAAACCCTCCCCAAACTAGCCAAGCATTTCTAAAGGATGTCTGTGCCTTTCCCATACTTCCTGAGAAGGGTGGCACAAAACAGGGAATAAGTGGAAGATGGAGTTTTGTCAAGGGCCCACCACCTGGCGGTAAGATACGTCACTTAACCTCCCTGATACTCAGTTTCTTTATCTGTAAAATGGGATAATAGCCTTCCTGTTCTATGTTGTTAAATCACAGCCGAATATAAGGATCAAGAAAGATGTAGTTGAAAACACTGTGATATCCGAGAAGTGATGGGTAACCATACAGAATTATTAATCGGGAAAGGGTTTAAGAAAAAGTGGCACAGGAACAAAATTAAAGGGAGAAAAACATCAGGAGAGATATCAGTTTTATCTGGGCTGTGTTTAAAAAAAAACGAGTGAGTGAGCTATACTCTCAGGAATTTCTTGAAAGTTTTAATGGCAACTGACATTCATGCTTCATAACTGTGCACGTAAAACACAAAATCAAGATGGAAAATGGAGATTCGTGCAGGTTTCCTTTTTTAATGGAAACCTTCACAGTTGGTAGTTCACGCCAGTGAGGGTGGAGAGGAGAACAATCTCTTTAACATTCATGGGGAAAAAAAATACTGAAACAAATATCGGCAGCGCAAATATTAAACTGCTTCTTCTCTACCGATTGGTAAAAAAATATATTATCTTCTGATATTTTCTTTTTTCTTTTTAAATTAAAAGTTCATCCGTCCCAGCCGAAGTCGTGGCCCGTCATCTGGTAGAACTTGCGGTTGAAGGGCCGGTAGAAATCCCGCAGCTGCCGCAGCACCTGCGCGTCGATCTCGGGGTGGGGTCTGCCCTTGGTCTTGCCCAGGCAGTGGGGGCGGCCGCTGCCCTCCGCCTTCTTGAGGCAGGGGAAGCCCTTGGTCTGGTTGAAGTAGAAGTGCTTGTCCGAGATGATGCGCTTGAGGCCCAGGAAGTCCTGCACGCGGCCCAGCTCGCCGGCCGGGTCGCGCACCAGGCGCTCGCCGCTCACGAAGAGCATCTGGCGGGCGGGGAAGTGGCGCAGCCAGCGCTCCAGGTGCTCCGCGTACAGGCCGATCTGGATGGCGCTCCACGAGCGGTCCACCAGGCCCGCCGAGCGGTTCCGGAAGGCCAGGCTCTCGAAGCTGGGGATGTCGGGCCGCTTGGAGAGCGTCTGCGTGTAGTCCGACACGGCCCGGGTCACCGGGTCGCGCACCACCACCAGGAGCTTGGTGTCCTTGGACATGGCCGAGATGCGCGCGGGCGCCTCGCGCGTCACGAAGTAGCTGGGCGTCTTCTCCATGGTGATCTGGCCGTCCAGGGTCCTCGGCATCAGGTCCCTGCGCGAGCAAACAGACCAGGGCGGGTCAGAGGTCACAGCTCTTTGACCACACGTCTCCAAGTCAACACTTTTAAAAAATTGATTGTTAATGGGAGGTTAACTGCTATACAATGTTGTGTAAATTCCTGGTGTACAACGTGAATCAGCTATAGATATACACATACCCCCTCCCTCCATTGGACCCGTCCCCCCATCCCATCCCTCTAGGTCATCACAGAGCATCCAGTTGCAATGTCAACACTTTCAATCCTGGCTCCATCTAATTACAGTTGTAGAAACATTGAAAAAATGTAAGTCAAATGTCAGAGCTGAGAGATACAGGAACATCCCTCTGAAGCTTGGAGGTCAGATGATCTCTATCCACCTAAGATGTGAAGGCACCTTAGTTTAGGGTAGGAGAAAGATTCGACATTCTCTGAGATCCTCTCCTGGTGTCACCTCTTCCCTTATTTTCTGCAGTATCCAGCTTTTAGAGGGCCCTGAGTGGAGCAGAAAGGCACATTAGAGCCAGGAGCCTGAGTGCCTTCCCCTAATGGACTCTGTGAGCTTCTTTCTAGGAGAGCAAAAGTCGTATGCACCCAGAGCCAGGCGGCCTGAGTTGAGGTACCAATTGCTCCCCTTACTAGGTATGTCACTGTGACCTTGGAGAAGTTACACAGATACTCTGCACCCCTAGTTCCTCGTGGATGTACTTTATGGGAAATAATAATACTATTTTTACCTCCCATGGATGTTGTGATGTTGTGTAATATTAAAGGTATTAATATACCTCGATAGCTTAGAAAAGTGCCTGGCACAAAATAAGTGCTATGTAATTTTTTTATAATCATCAACCCACAAGGCTGTAAGAAAATAACCTTGATCAAATTCTTTTAGGTGAATTAGAATATTGTAATAAACACAATTATACAGCAGTGAGATGGTGTTAAAATACCCTGAGCCCTTTTTGTCGTTTTTTTATAAACAAATAAATTATAACATAGTATCATTGTGTAGTACACAAAATATTTCTCTTTCTAATTCCTGAACTTTCCAATAACAAACAAGACTTATCAAATAATCCATCTTTTATCATCTAATAATTTGAAATGCCACCCTTACAATAGTTTAAATACCGTGGTCCCTCTCTCTATTGGCCCAACTGTCACGTTAACTTACTATCATGTTATGGTAATATATTTTCATGTACATCACAGTAAATTCTGACTCTGTTGTTCAAAACGTTCTTGATGATTCTTGTCTCTTTATTCTTCCTGACAAATGTTAGAATCACTTGTCATGTGGGGGAAAAAAAATTCCTCTTGGAGTCCTGTTGGAGAGATTGCTACCTAGTTCAAGCATGAGAAAGGATGGGTCTCAGAGCCAGTCCAAAAGTACAAGCAGGTGAAATAAAACCTACGTATTTTTCCAAAAGTGTACTGCCATTAAATCCACTATTTATCATAGATTTGAAATATGTATCTGGTATGTTGTTGTTTAGTGGCTAAGTCATGTCCAACTCTTTTGTGACCCCATGGACTGTAGCCCACCAGGCTCCTCTGTCTAAGGGATTTTCCAGGCAAGAATCCTGGATCTGTGGTATCTTTCTGACCCAGGGGTCGAACCCAAGTCTTGTGTCTTGTGCACTGGCAGGCGGATTCTTTATCACTAGGGCCACCTGGGAAGCCCCAAGTCATCGAATACTGGTGCTTTTGGGGGTTGAGGATAAGAAAGGGACTAGAATCTTCAAATACATTTACAGTTTCTTCTGTGGTTATTGTTTCTTTGTAATGATCTGCTTCATCTTTGGTGAATTTTGTCAATATTTTTCTAAAAATCACCCAGTTGAGTAGTTCAAGTTTTATGCTCTGTCTCAACTATAATTTTGTGGGGGTTCTTCCTGCTTTTCTTTTTAGTTCGGTAGATGACTTTTCAAATTTACTTATTTGCATTTTACTTTTTTAATGACATTTATTCTTTTTCTATTCATGCTTTGTTCTTCCAATTTAATTAACTGAATGTTTAGTTCATTTATTATAATTTCTCTCATCTCAAGTAATAAAAACATTTTGAAGCTACTATTTTCCCTTTAAGTACAGACTTATCAAATTCCCCAAAGTTTGACATGTACTGTTGGTCATTTACATAACTTCACAAATATTTAGTAATTGCACTTGATACTTTTTCTTTTTGGTCCAGGCATTAGGACTGCTTTTACTTTTATTAAATTCTGATGGTTGACTTGCTGGTTTCATTCATAATTTTATTATTAATTTCTATTTCACCTTTGTAATAAAAAATGCACTGTGTTGCATGAGTCTGCTTTTGTTTGATTACCTGTGATTTTATTCCTCCTGTATATTTGCTAATTGTATATTACAAAAAATTTCAAATAAACCCCAAAGTAGAGAAAACTATAACATATATCTCACGTAACTTACATCCAACTTCAAAAAGCAACTGACTGCCAATTTCATTTCCTTCCTAACCCACTGTGTCAACTCCCCCATCACCCCAAATGAATTACTTTGACTTTATCTCAGACATCATGTCAACTGCTTCACAAACAATCTGTTGCCATGTGCATTTATACCTGGCACAAATTCTTCAACATTCGTGGCAATAAGCCACTGATGCTGGCTTAGTTTAATGATACAGATCTCCTCACAATTTTCTTTCTTTGATATTTTAGTCAGCTTATCTTTACTTTTCTTCTGGAGGAGAAATGATAATCAGATATCTGATTCCTGTTGCTTTTTTCCTTGTTGATTTAAGAAATCTGCAATTCCTTTTTCAGAACTTTTAACTGTGTCCCCATCTCCCATTTCTTAGACATACCTGAAGGTCTGGGTGAGAAAAAGCAAAGACCAGGGAAGTCTGTGTTGACACAAGGGAGACACAGACGGTCATGACTGCCTGTGTAAGGCTGGGGCCCCCTTGTGACATAAACCCACAGATTTTGTCACTGTGTATGTGTGTGTGTATATATATTCACAGTGACTGAATCTGTGGATTCGTCACATATATACACACATATACAGGCTTCCCTCAAGGCTCAGCAGTAAAGAATCTGCCTGCAATGCAGGAGACTTGGGTTCAATCCCTGGGTTGGGAAGATCCCCTGGAGAGGGGAAGGGCAACCCACTCCAGTATTCTCGCCCGGGAAAGCCCATGGACAGAGGAGACTGGAGGGCTACAGTCGACAGGGTCACAAAAGAGTTGGACAGGACTTAACAACTAAACAACAACAATAACACACACACACACATATATCCCCTTCATGGAACTGAGAAGTCGGCTAGACCAACCTACTTTGGAAGCTAACTTACACTTTTATAAGATGAGCCAGGAGATCTATACAGAAACTGTTGGACTATCTCGGGGAAGAAAATTGGATCAAATGTGTGAAAAAAAATTCTGGACTGTAAAAAAGCACACCTTAGACACCACTGAAATGATAAGGAGGAGTATTCCATGATTTTTTTTAAAAAGTCAGCATTCTTGCCTTCTTTCCTATCATCTCTGACTTTTAACCACTCGACCTCGCATTTTGCCAGTAGAATAGAGATAACACCCTTCAGATGGGAGCTGCTGGTGGGCAATCTCAGTCTTCCTGCCCTCCGGCCCCGGGGAGAAGTACAGACTCCAGCGGCCTGTCAGCAGAGATTAGTCATAGATTGTGCCGGCCCAGAGGAAATACTACCCATATCCCTGAAGAAAAGAAATGCTATTTTAAATTATCTCGATAGGGTAGGAAAAAGAGCTATCCAAAGTAGGAGGAGTTTGAAGAGGAAACAGCTAAAATAGGATTTCAGAGGAAAAACACATTAGTTACTGTCATCTTCAGGATGAGGAAAGTGGACGGGATGGGGAGTTCGAGTGAACTAGGGGCTGCCTGCTACCTACTTGCATCATAAAGGAAGAAATGCAAGTGCAAGTAAATCCTTGATGAGGCTTATATTGCAGAGAATTATTGCTTTGTAAAAGGACTCATCTCAGAATTCTTTAAATGGCCATCTCCCTTTTAAATTCTTAGATTCGTTTTCTTATTGCAACTTGAATTTTAATGCTCAGAAAAGAGCTCCTTTATCACACAAAACAAAATGCACATATATGTTGGAATATAGTATTTCAAAGTGTTTAGGTGAATTTAGACATCTTCTTTCCTTGCCCAAGTGAAGCATGTACTATGACTGTTCTGTATAAGGGCTCAGCCTGGGACACACAATGGAAGAGCCACCAAGCATGATGGGAACTTCTCAGAAACACCGGGCAAGTGAGGGGAGCAGAGAGGCGAGTGCAATGAGAAGACGTGTGGGTTTGCCTAAAGACCAGACAAGCTGGCGTGCAGGGTGAGAAATTCCAGTGAACAATGGACAGGGTGGGTCCTGGGATGCCTTAATTTCCAGGCAAACAGGATTGGCTGTTCCATTCACTTTGCAGGAGTGAAAATAATTTTGAGACATTTTATAGTAGAAATGGGTAGGATAAAAGGGTAGAAACTAGAAATATAAAGAAAAATTAGAGATGCTTATTTGTTTTCTCCTGAAGATGTCAAGGAGAAGAAGGAGTTTCACAAGCAAGAAATATAAAGAAAAATTAGAGATGCTTATTTGTTTTCTCCTGAAGATGTCAAGGAGAAGAAGGAGTTTCACAAGCAGAAGGAGTTTCACAAGCAAATGGAGGATTATTACCAGGTGCATGGCACACTTTTGTTCTCTGTCTCCAAAGAAAAAAATAAGAATTCACCATAGCCAAAGAGTAGAAGCAACACAAGTGTCCACAGAGGGCTGAGGGCTGAATGGGCAGACAAAACATGATCTAGCCATGCTGCGGAATATTATGCAGCCTTAAAAAGGGAACAGAATTCTGACACCTGCTGCAACACGGACAGGCCTTGAGGCCTTTCTGCTGAGTGAAATAAGCCAGGCTCAGAAGGATACCGACTGTGTGACCCCACTTGTATGAGGTCCCTAGAGGAGCTGAATTCACAGAGACAGAAAGTAGAATAGTGATTGCCAGGGCTGGGGCTGGGGGAGGGGGAGTTTGTATTTGGTGGGGATTTTAGTTTTGCAAGATGAAGAGTTCAGGAGAGTGATCACTTTGCAACGTAAATGGACTT